AAGAGAAATAAATTATAAATAATCATACACTTTCTTTCTTAACGATTAAAATTATCAATGATAAAATGGAACTGCATATAGCGTAAAAGAAAAAAAAAGAAATAAAAATGGCTTTAAAAAAAAATAAAACTTGGAAGATGAAAAGAAGGAAAGGGGGAAGGAGGAAGGGATTATAAGTGTTATAATAAAATCCTAATGAGCGTGTAACGATTGAAATTATCAATGATAAAATGAAACTGCATATAGCATAAAAGAAAAAAAAAAAAGAAATAAAAATGGCATTAAAAAAAGGAAAACTTGGAAGACGAAAAAACGGGAAAGGGGGAGTAAGGGGGGTAAGGGATGATGGTGGTTGTTTGAACTACGGTGTTCATCGAGCGAACGATTCGCACTGACGCGAGTTATGCAATCGTCGAGACTGGCCTTGCGCCAATCTTGCGTATCACTCGAACTCGTCCGACAGACAAAGAGAGAAGAGGAAAGAGACTGCCCGATGGATATAAAAAAAAAAAGAGACAGAAAGAGAGAGAGAGAGAGAGAGAGAGAAAAGAATTAGAGAGGAGACACAGAAGAAGATAATATGGAAGGAAAGAAGAGGAACGGGGAAGGGAATTACTATGAGAACGAGGGTGAAGGGGGTGAGGTGGAGGATGATGGTAGTGGTGGTGGTGATGGTGATTATGGTACAAGGGGAAAGGGGGAAGGAGTGTGTCGATCGTACACACGTTCTGCGTGTGACGCAGGTTACGAAACGCGTATACCGTTTGATATTTCTATCCGTGTATGTGTAACATGTGCATATATATATATATATGTGTGTGTGTGTGTGTATCCAACATGACGTGTATGTTAAACGTATGCTTTCATGTGACGCGTAATGTATGCATGCATGCATGCATATGATACGTGTACGTTTGTTAAATGTAGAATTTAGACTTGTATGGTAAGAAGAATATTTGTTTTACAGTTTTATTTAAGAAGAAAAAAAAAAGATATATGACTAAAATGAGAAAATAGTAAATAGAAGAAGAAGAAGAAGAAGAAGAAGAAGAAGTAATTATTTATCAGAGTTTTGTGATCTTTCGAAAAATTGTCTTGAAAAAATAATCGCTTTAAAATATACGTGAATGGGTTGAAATATTTTGAGCTTGGCACATAAAGAGTAGGTTGAAAAGTTTTGAGCCTGGCACGAGGAAAGTTGAATAAAAAGTCGTAAGCTTTTTTAATAAGATTTATTTAAATGAGAGAAGGACAAAAAATCGTCTAACTAATATTATCTCTCACGCGTATCTCTTATTAAATTCCAAGAAATGGAAAAACTAGGAAAAAAATTGTATGATAGTAATCCAATAGGTAATTAGATTTCATAGTAGATCGTATTGTTCCTTACTCGAATATCACGATACAAGTGTACTTGACTAGGATCCTTGAATTACTTGCTTACAATATATGACACTTGTTTTTTTTTTAAGAATAAATTTCAAAATAACGTGTGTAACACACGGTTCGTCGTCAGGTATCGATAGTGTTACACGACAGTGTTTGTGAGAGTCACAAAAATAATTGAAAATTCATTAAAGAAATATATACCATGAAATTGTAATTTTGGGATTTAGGTTAATATTGTATTATCAATTCACGTGTAACAATTCGTAAGAAAAATGTGTTTTTAATCGTTTTACAATTGTTTATTGAAAATGTTATCTTTCGATTTAATTTCACGTGACGATTGAAAGGCATAGCGATCTTGAAAAGTTGACAACTGGCATACTTGAACTCTATCCGAGAGCAAAGAATGAAACCAACATACAAGAGATAAGGAAAGAAAAGAAAGAAAGAGAGAGAAAGAGAAACAGTATAGCAATGGTCCAGCTCGTGCGTGGTACGAAGAGACGAACGAATGAGTATATACACGTATTTATATGTATATAAGTAAACATATAAGTGTGTCTGTATATGTTTATACACGCAAGAAAATTTTCATAGTGTTCGTCGTTGCTATCTTTCTGGTACGTGGCTGGTACCATGATAAGAAAGAGAGAGAGAGAAATATCGTCACGTGCAAAAGATGCACCGGAAGTTAAATTGTGCTAGCTAGCTAGCTAGCCGCCATCTTGAACGTAAACTTATTTTGCAATTTATTTCTCTTTTTATTCATTTTTTATAATTTTATTTTCATTTAATTATCATTTAATCTTACCTTTTTTATACATACATATATATTTTTTATTTTATTATATATATATAGAATAAAATAATGTGTGTGTGTGTGTGTAATTCTTTTATGGAATTGTTAAACGCACGCATATATATGGATGTATATTTGTTATTAAATATTAAATAATATATTACAGATGTTTTTTTTTTTTTAATACCGCAATTATTTTCGACATTTTAATAATTAATTTTCTTATTAGAAATTATATACGATAAAGGGCAATAATATAAATAACGTTATTATATATATTTTTCCGATTAATATAAAAAATAAATGAATAAATACATTTATTCTATCATCGATCGGTTTTTACTTTTAGTAATTATTACGTAAAACGTTTTCGATTCTAATAAAATACTAATAAAAAGTGATAAATTCTCGAGAGTTAAGTATCGGTAAACTCGTAAGTGTTAAACTACCACAACTACCATTAAATTCGTAAGAGTGCAAAGAAGAGACGAAGGTAAATTCATTTAAGATGCAAAACTCAATAATCGTTAGATCGTTTATGGCGTGATGGCTCGTTCAGAGAAAACGTAAACAACAACGATGAAGAAGTATCTTCGAGATAGTACAAATAATCCTCTTCGATCAACTATACTATGAATAAATTATTCACACGCAGTATGAAAAAAAAAAAAAGATAAATAAATTTACTTTAAAAAACTTAATTAGAAAAATATTTTTATAGAAAACAAATGTGTATAAATGTATAAACTTTTATTAAATATCTTTTAAAGTATACTAATATATTTTTAATGCAGAAAATAAATCAAGTAATTTTCTAACTATAATAATAAAAAAAAAAAAAAAAAAACTAATTGTAAGAAGAAGAAGAAGAAGAAGAAGAATGATTACTATTATACTAAAACGGTGATTTCCTTTACGACGATATATATATATATATATATATATACACAACGTACAAAACGAATTCGTTTAAACTAATATAATAGTTAGCGCCGAAAATTAAATTATAATTGTTCTCATTTAATGAATCATGCGTGAGTCATTTAAATGATTCACGACTTCCGAAAGCACCATAGTTCCGTTTATAACCCACGCTTTCCTTGAACGTAACTTACATGATGCATATTTACTTACATATTTACTTACATATGTGCATTAATTAACATACGCATAATCTAACAACACGTATTATTTTTTCATTCGGTTTACCAAAAATTTTAAATCGGGAAAAATGTAATATTATTCCTGTTGAAAAATAATCGACGAATAATGATGAATAAATTTGAGCATGATCGATACCGTCAATAATCATAATACGAAACAATTTTAAATTAACATTTGAATTGCAAAATATGTAAAATAACACTTTTTAATTTTGCATTAAAATACGAACGAAATTTTATTAAATTCCAACCCAATAATAAAACATACACACACACACACACCTATCTCTCCGCCCCCCCCCCATTTCGAAAATAATAAGAAATCAATCATTGCATAATCGTTACAAGGTCTTGTCAAAATGCAACTATGTAAATTCTATTCCAGTAATCGTATTGGTTAGTTCAATTGATTATTTGCTAGGAGTAATTGTTGTTGTAAAGTCGATAGTAGGACGATTATCGAATGCTAACCTAACTGCACCGTTGCATACCAACACTGGCTAATAATTACCTACACGATAATTCTAAGTTATTTGTATGCGTTTACTATATACATATATATATGTGTGTGTATGTATTTGTGTGTGTTAAAGCGCATTTGTAATACGTCGTAAATGTTTTTTTTCTTTTCTTTTTTTTCTTCTTCATTAAAATGTTTGTTCGAATCATAACAGCGTTAATAATTTTCTACGATTAATCGATCTACTTTTTAAACAATCTACATTTTTTTGTTTTGCATACTCGTTTGTCTATTTCTTTATTTGTTAATTTTACAATTGAATCGAGTATAGAATAGTTTCAAATAAGAGCAACAATTTTGTAATTTGAAATAAGCACGTTTAATTAAAATTGACGAATTATTTTTGATCATTTAAATTCGTTACCCAATGATTTTATATTTTAATTCGTATAAATTTTAATATATATATATATAAAGGGATTCACGAGTATTAATTAATTGTAAAGATGAAGACAAAATTTTAATATCAAAAGACAATCAAATCAATGTTAAATAAACATTTAATATTCATACACCCCCACTCTCCTCCCCAACTACCTTTCCACATATATTAATTACACGTATAAATAATTACATCAAAAATGATAAATATATATACACACACACACATATATATATATATATATATATATATATATATATACATATGCATATATAAATATCGATTCTCGATTAGTCTTTTGACGTATTAAACTCGCGTAATCGTTCAACTTCTTATTACAACTCCTGGCGAGAAACATAGTAAACTTATAAATAAATCCGAACTGACGTTATTATTACGACGAATTCCTACGTCAATTCGGGTGATCTAAAATTTGACGCAAGACAAAGTTTTAAAGTAGAAACATAAGTGTGAAGAAGTGGGAGGTTTGAGTTGGGGGCGGTTTAGGGGTGATGGTGATGGTGGTGGTGGTGGTGGTGGTGGTAAGAGATGTTCGATTAGTAAGATA